GCACTCCAGGCTGGGCGACCGAGTGAGACTCCAACTCAAAAAAAAAAAAATACTAAGACTTAAGAGTACCCATTTTAAATGTCTAAAAAGTTAGAGAAAGGCCTATTTAAAGAAGAAGAGGAAAGTATGAAGATAATGTATCAAATAGAAAATATTAGTACAGAGATAAAATGATATAAAACGAACCAAGAAACAAATACAACTTCTTGGGTTGAAAAGTACAATAATCAAAATAAAAATTTATTAGAGAGGTTCAATAGTAGATTTGAACTGACAAGAGAATCAATTATTTTGAAGATAGATTGATAAATATTATGAAAGACAGAAATTTGCTGTCTTAAAGATAGATTAATTTGGATTATGGAAGCCAAAGGACAGAGAGAAAAAAGAAAATAAAAATGAAGAATATCTCAGAGAAATATATATATATTTCTATATATTATATATAATATATATATTATATTATATATATAATGGAAGTATTAGAAAAAGAGGAATAAGATAAAGATAAGCTGTAAAATCCAAATAGGATAACACAGAGAGATCTACAGACACATCATAGTAAAAAATATATATATTTAGAAATATATATTTTATATTATATATATAATATATAGTAAAAATATAGAAAGCAAAAGATGGGGGTATCTTGAAAGCAGCAAGAGAAAAGTTACTTTTAAGGGAACACCAATGGAATTAACAGCTGACTTCTCACCAGATATAATGGAAGCCAGAAGCAGTGGGATGACATAGTCAAAGGGTTCAAAGGAAAAGTCTGTTACCCAAGAATCCTTTATTCAGCAAAGGTATCTTTCAAAAATGGAGATGAAATAAAGACATTTCCAGATAAGCAAAAACTGAGAAAATTTGTTGCTACCAAACCTGTCTTATAAAAATTACTAAAAGAAGTTCTTCAGGCCAAAAGTAAATAAGCCAAGAGGCAAATTTGAATCCAAATGGAAAAAACAAAAAACACTAGTAAAAGTAATTATGCAAAAAAAAAAAAAAGTAATTATGTAATTATAAAAGACAGTATAGATGAATCTTTCTTTGAGTAACTAATTTAAAAAGCAATTGTTTAAAACAATATGTATATTATTGGATCACATATATAATTGTATCTATTGCATAACATATAGAATTCATTTAAATGTTCAAATATTTGAAATAATATCACAAGGAGGTGGGTGAGAACAAGTTGTATTAGAGGAAGGAAATGATCAGATGGTAGCTGGAATCCACAGGAATTGATGAAGAAAAGCAAAAATGATAATAAGAAGGTAAACAGGGGTGAAAGGTCACGCGGCGCGCGGTGGCCATTTCTCTGCCCGCCCGGAGGCTCGGACCGGCGGGCCTGCTGCGGTCGCGAGGGACGGGCGGTGGTGCGGTTGGGGTGAGCGGCCTGCGGCGTGGCCCGCGGCGACGATGAGTTTACCCCTCAACCCGAAACCTTTCCTCAATGGCCTCACGGGGAAGCCAGTGATGGTGAAGCTCAAGTGGGGGCTGGAGTACAAGGGCTACCTGGTGTCGGTGGATGGCTACATGAACATGCAGCTTGCAAACACAGAAGAATACATGCAGAAAACATGCAGCTTGCAAACACAGAAGAAGACGGGGCGCTGTCTGGACACCTGGGTGAAGTTTTAATAAGGTGTAACAACGTCCTTTATATCAGAAGTGTTGAAGAAGAGGAAGAAGATGGGGAAATGAGGGAATAGCAGCTTTTGTGTGGTTTTTAATATATATTTCTAGACAATAAAGATCTGTTTGTTTTTCAAAAAAAAAAAAAAAGAAGGTAAACATAATAACTTTTCCCCATCTTCTTAATAGATATAAAATTATAGAGTAATAATTACAACAGTATGTTGTTGGGTTTTAATATATATAGATGTAACATTTATGTTTATGTAACAGTAATAGTACAAAACGCTAAATGAACCAATAGAATTGTATGAGGCAATGTTTTCATATCTTATTAGAATTTAGTATAAATTATGATTAAATTTGAACAAGTTAAGATGTACCGGGGTGGGGGTGCCAAAAGAATTTATACACATTTTAAGAGATGCTATCTATGTATTCCTTTTTGAAGTTGAATTGAATTATGGTAACAGTGTGTAGTATAACATTTATTCAAAATATTGTGTTAATCAAATGAATGCTGGCGTCACTATGTGACAGGCAGGAAGGCAGGACAGTCAAAGAAAAAGACAGAAGCACAGTTGTCATTCAAAGAGCACAAGACCATTTTGAAGTGGTTTTTGAAATTTGAGAATGTTGTGGAAGTATAATGACAATGGAGGCATGAGTATGCCACAAAATCTCCAACATGCCTAACAATTGCAAACATTTGTAATAAGTTTGAACACATGTGTGCAATGTGTACAAGATCCAGAAGGCCTTGTACCGCAACAAGTTCTGCAGAAGTCTGCTGTGGTCAGAAGTGTCTGAATGCTGAGGGTAACCACTTTGAGCACCTCTTGCAGAAGTCAAACATGACTTGTATTCATCTTTTGTTATTGGTATACATTGAGTTTTACAATTTTACTACAGTTTTTTCTTTCTTAAAATGTGTATACATTATTTTGGCATCCTCTGTATGCTATAAGCTCCAAAGCAACCCAAAATAAAATAATACAGAAATGTACAGTAAAACAATCAAAAGGGATTAAAATGTTGCATTAGAAAGTATTCACTGCAAGGCTGAGGTGGAAGGATTGCCAGAGCCCAGTAGGTTGACGCTGGGGTGACTGTGAGCATGCCACTGCACTCCAGCCTGGGTGATGGAGTGAGACTCCAACTCAAAAAAAAAGTATTCATTTTGATCCTTTTTTGATAATTGAGTTTTCACATACAAGGGGGATTATCCCCCCAAAACCCTCCAATTTTTTAATATAAAATTTTGTATTTATCATTACATTTAAAACTTCATTTTTTTTTTGAGTTGGAGTCAAAACTTCAGTCACCTTCAAAGTACTCTCCATTTGATGAAATACACCTACTGAGATGCTTTTCTCCACTATTCAAAACAGATATTGAACTTGTCAATTTTGATGCCATTTAGTACTTCTGCCATTTTTTTGTTTGTTTTACCTCTTTCACACCAGCAAAACGTTTCCTTTGAGACATTTTTCATCCAGGGAGACAAAAGAAAAGGAGCCTGGGGTGAGATCAGGTGAATAGAGAGGGTGAGGCATGAGGGTTCATGCCATTTTTGTCAAAAACTGCTGAATATTCAACACAGTGTGGGCAGGTATGTTGTCGTGGTGGAAGAACCAAATACCTGTTTGCCAACACTTGAGATGTTTCTTCCTCAAATCATGATGCAACCTTCTCAAAACTTCCTGATAAAAACTTTGGTTGCCCATTTGATCCAGAGGAACAAATTCTGAGTGTATTACAAGGGACTCAGCCTCCAAATTATAATTCCAGTTTTTGGGGGGTCTCATTCATACATGTGAAAACTTTCAAACATTGTTATGATGTCAGTACATTACCAATTTGAAATGAAAACAAATTCACTTAATTAATAAAACAATAGCTAGGGCATGGCAGGGTGGCTCATGCCTGTAATCTTAGCATTTTGGGAGGCTGAGGTGGGAGGATTGCCTAAGGCCAGAATTTCAAGATCAACCTGGGCAACAAAACAAGACCCTGTGTCACAAAAAAGTAGAAAAATTAGCCAGATGTGGTGGCCTGTGCCTATAGTCCCAGACACATAGGAGGTTGAAATGGGAGGATTGCTTGGAGGAGTTCAAGGTTGCAGTAAGTCATGATCATGCCACTCTACTTCAGCCTGGGAGCCTAGGAGACAGAGAAAATCTTGTTTAAAAAAAAAAAAAAAAGAAAGGGTAAAAAAAAATACATGAGACATTGATTGAAAACAAAAAGCTAAATAGTAGACATAAATCCAACTATGTCAATAATAGTAAATGTGAATGGATTAAACAGTTAAATCAAAAGGCAGTGATTGTCAGACTAGATAAAAGAAAAGCAAGTTCCAGCTATGTGCTGTCTAACAGAAATATACTTTGAATTCACAGGCACAAATAAGTTGAAAATAAAAAGATGAAAAAAGATATATTATGCAAAGAGCAACCATAAGAGAAATAGAGTGGTTATACCAATATCAGACATTTTACACTGTAAATGGGTGAATCGTATGATCTATGCATTATACCTCAATACAGTTACTTTTTTTGGCTCCAGACTTTCTATATCAGAAAGTAAGTTAGGAAAGTTAGGCTGAGCTCGGTGGCTCAGCCTGTAATCTCAGCACTTTGCGAGGCTGAGGTGAGTGGATTGCCTGAGCCCGCACTTGATGCAAGGATGAGGCAGGACTTTTGGGCGAGACCTGCCTGGGCAACTTGGCGAGACCTCATCTCTACAATAAATCAAATATTACCACACCTTGTAGTAGTGCATGCCTGTAGTTCCAGCAACTTGGAAGGCTGAGGCAGAAGGATCGCCAGAGCACAGCAGATTGAGGCTGCGGTGGCCGGGAGTTTGGGCAATGGAGTGAGACTCCAACTCAAAAAAAAAAAAAAAAAAGAAGGAAAGAAAGTTGTTCTGCTGCCACAATGATCATATTCTGCAATGTTCTCTTCAGATGTGGGCAAGGAAATGGAAAACAAAGACTTTTCATGAAAAACAGCAGACTGGAGAGCAATAGAGAGCTATGTCCATGTAGCAGAACCAGGGACTAAGCAAGTGATATCTCTTAACCCTGAGGTAGAGAGAATGTGTAAACATTGCCCAAAATATTTTTGAAATCTTTGGACCGTCTTGCCATTCTTCTCCTTTTTGAGTGGCAGGGCTCATTATAGTCAACCCTGTTCCGCTTCTTAGTTTGTAGTCCTCCAGATCCAGTAGAGCTTCAGCTGGATCTGATGTACATCATGAGATTACGGACCTGATGCAAGGATGAGGCGGGACTTTTGGGGTGGCGTGGTGAGGGAGTGAGGCTATTTTCCCTTCAGGATATAAATAAATCATTTTTAGCCAAGAGCGATAACTGTGGTAGCAGGTGTTTTGGGCTCATGTTTCTTCCTTCCCTTCCTGCAATGCTTTTGTCGTGGTCCACCTTGGCAGAGTATCAATTCCTTATCAATTAATTTTGATTTGGTCATATGACTTGTTTTCACCAGTAGTATGTGAGCAAATATAATTTCTAACCTCACGTTTTAACTACCCTTGCATTGTTTGGCCAGTTTTTTTTTTTAATTTCTGCCATCCACCAGGGAATAACAAGCCCTGGGTAGCCACTTATCCCAGAATGAGGTATATGTGAAGATAGTCAAAATCTAGAAACATTGTCTGAGTCATAGCCACCTCATCTCACCTGTGAACTAGTGAAAGGAAAAAAAATTGTAATTTTAGCTACTAAATTTTTTTTCTTTTGGGGGGAGATGTTTTATAACTTTGTTGCAGCCTTGGGAGTGGTCCTGGGGGTAACAATACGCTGCATTCACTCAGGTGCTGCTTGACATCATTGAGCAACCAGAGCCTGTCTTTGACACCAAGAGTGGTAGCTGAAAAAGAGTCTGCACACTCCTTGCTCAGGTGTGTCTGGAGGGAACCAAAGGTGGGGTGGACCAGGACCAGTTGCTTCAGTGCGGGCCAAAAGAGGCCATGCCTAGCAAGATGAAACCACTGAACTTTCTAAGGCATATGGAGCACTCCCGAGGCAGGAAACTGTGGAGGAAGTTGCAGAAGTGGTATTGGCCAAAAGAAATTGTAAAACAGTAGGGGGGGATACTTGTTATGAACTAGAGATAATAAAAAATATATATCAATCACAATAGAGAAAATATGGAATTAATTTCTATACTCTCCATAGAAATTTCTATACTCATATTTCCTAAGAGAAATGTTCAAAGGGTATGTAGCCAAAAATGCAGAAAGAAGATTTTTTTTTTTTGAGTTAGAGTCTTACTCTGTCACCCAGACTGTAGTGCAGTGGCCGCTCCTGGCCATTGCAGCCTCGACCTGCTGGGCTCCAGCGATCCTTCCCCCTCAGTCCTCCAAGTAGCTGGAACTACAGGCGTACGCTACCACACCCAGATAATTTTTGATTTATTATAGAGATGAGGTCTCGCCAAGTTGCCCAGGCAGGTCTCAAACCCGCGGTCTCAGGCAATCCACTCACCTCAGCCTCCCAAAGTGCTGAGCCACCGAGCCTGGCTTGAAAGAAGATATTTTAGAATTATATTGGAAGTTAACTAACAATAATAATGAAATATATTGCTAATTTTGTAGTATTTTAGTATTTGTCAGCATCTAATATTTGTAGTTCCTATGATTTCTTTGGGCTTTCTAAATAATATTCCCTTTGTATCTATTTTTTTCTTATTATTTGTCTTAAAGAGTGCCACACGTTACATAAGGATATGAATTCTGAAACTGAGGCAGACATATTCAGTGATGAGGGGAGAGCCTAGGGTTGCCAGAGTCACTATGAAGTGATTACAGATGAAGCTGACTCCATTGCTGGCAAAGCAGTGGGATGGAGCACATTTGGGTTGCTGGTGTCATAGCTTGAGTCGCTGAACAAGTCACGCTTAAAGTTAATCCTGGCACTGGAGTTTTCTATTCCTGAGCCAATGTGAGTTGGTTTTTTTTTTTTGTCACTTGTAATACGAAGTGTCCTGATGGAGAAATAGAGCACAATGCATATAAAATGCAATTCTCTAAAATACCATTCATTCTTTTCATTTCT